AAGACTAAAGTTTTTTCGATGCATTGTGGCAGCGGTGGCATAGTCAAGCTGGCTGGTGAGGTCGGTCTATTTGACTGGAATTGCCTCCAAGGGAGCATATAAAAAGATTTATGAACGCTGTTTTCACAACATATATGTAAACTCCACATTAACGTATATTAAAATTTGCTAAAGTAGTGCAGCAAATAAACCTTTTTCATCAACCAAGAAATTCAATGCTGATTTTTGTTCTAACCCCTGGAAATGGGTCTTAACTGCGCTTTTCGACATATTTAAATTTTTTAGTTGATTACTTTTTCCAACTGTTGTCATTGATTGAGCAGATTTAAACACCAATATGCCATGCTTAAAAATAACCCAATCAACAAATATACTCTTTTAAATAAAATTATTGAGGTTATAAAGAATTGATTTAAATAAAATGAATATATTTAAATAAGATACATCATAACTTAAAACAAAGAGATCTAACTTTAATTAAATGCGCCTTATTCGGAGAAATAAAATCTGCTTCACTTGATATACAAAAAAAAATTCTTTTTTCACTTTTTTTACGGGGTTGAGGACGAGAGCCAAGCAGCCGACTAGATATTATCCGTAAAATCTGTGTTAACCGAGCGAGTGAATAGACCCCTTGCAAAGCGTGCGGCGCGGTTCTCGGGAACGGTAGGTACACCGTACATCCGCTTCTAGCAGACGACAGAGGCGACATTGGAGGCGACGCGGAGCGGACCGGGTCAGCCGAGTAACTCTGGTTCCTTCTCGCTCTCTTCAGTGTCACTGGGTAAATGCTATGGTTAAGCGCGATCCAAACCAACGCTTCTTTTTGCGCCTGTAGGTCGTGCGGCTGCGGATGTGACGTATTTTCGTGACGTCGCGCCACCTCTTCGCTCCTTCCGGGCGCGCACAAAAAAGTTGGATAATTTCAACTTCTTTCTCAACGCGCACAAAAACGCGCGGTGACGTATAGGGCGCTCCTGTGTCCCGGCCAATCGGTGGAGGGCAAGCTAGTTCCGGCTCCGCGTTTCGTCGCCGCCTTCTCAGAGCAAGTGACAAAAGCGCCCGGTGCGCATCCACAATTGGCCCTCTCCTCCCCCCACTTTTATTCTCTTCCAACATAACAACGCGATCTCTCTCTCTCTCTCGCCGCCTTCTGGCTGCGACAGACTGGCCTTGGCCTGGCCGGCCAGTCTGTTGCGCGCGTGCGTGCTCACCCGAAGCTGGCCCGTCCAAACCAAAGCGCACGGTTCTGACTCAGAAAGTGCGCCCGGAAACAGCAAAAAACGTCAGGAAATGCGTCACATCCGCAGCCGCACGACCTACAGGCGCGAAAAGAAGCGTTGGTTTGGATCGCGCTTTATAAGGAGGAGCTAGGACTTGGCGCACAACGTTTTGGGATTTTTGTAAAAGGTCTGTTTTCCATTGACAAAGTGGGTTTACGCAATATATGGTTAGCGGACAAACCGCCATTCGGTCTGCCATGCAACTGCCTATAACAGTGCGTGCAGCTACTAATTTTGCTGCAATTAGGAATAACTGCAGTCAGTCTCTTAGTGTAGTTAAAGTCGTATAGTAGTTAAAGTCGTAGTGTAGTTAAAGATGTATATTTGCGCGGCCGATCGGCCGCGCAAATATACAACAACGGTGTAACAGTGTCCGGAGCACAGCACTTATTCTGTGAAGTGCCAACCCCAGCGCCTATGAGGAACATGGGTGGCATGTAATCTGCACCATATCACGTGGCCTCTTGTTCTGGCTGCTAGCTGATAAAGTAAACGCTGTTCATTATTAAATGCGTTAGCGTTTATTGCCCTGGCGCATGCAGCCCTCTTTCGTTTGGACGGCCGTGGATTGGTTTGGACTGGACGGGTTTCATGAGGCCGCGACGCGGTTCCCGCCGTGTTCTCTCGCTCCGTTCGGTCGCTCGTTCAACACCTCCTCGATAAGAAAGACTGCTGATTTGTCCTGCGTGACCAAAGAAGGACACCGCAGGGCAGAGATTGGGCACGACTACGGGGTCAGCGTTCGGGTACTGTGTTCTTATCGATTGGACACGACTCCTAGCCGAACACCGACACCTTGGCCGTGTCCAATCTCTGCCCTTGGGTGGCCTTCTTCAGTGACGCAGGAAAATTCAGCACTAAGGCTCTCTTATGTAGGAGGTGTAGGCTCGTTACGTTCACTTCTAGCCAGGGAAATTGAGAAGGCCTCTTTTGACGTGAACATATCTGTAAGCAAAGTCCCTTGATACTTCTTTTACAAGTAGCGACAACCAATACAGATGACAAAGCACAGCCCGCTGGAACAAAATGGCGGCATTCAGTTCAAACCTCTGCTGTGCGCCGCCATTCGCTTCCTGAAACCTCGCCGTCACGCAGTCGGCGCTTCAAAGAACGACGCTGCTTATAGAAATTTCTTATCTGGGGACTTTAGGTGTAAGCGCTCCGTCTATAGCCCTAGCGAATGACGAGGCTGATTTATTAAGAAGTCGGGCAAGTACGTGTAGGCGTGTGTCGGCATGATGAGGGAGGGGTGTGTTATCGGGTTGATTGTTTTTGTGCCTATCATGTTCTTTCTACGTTTACTTGCTGTACCGTGTACAAGGGCTTCGGTTCTAAGTCAGCACTGCGTCTGGGTTCTCCTTCCACTGGACCTTCGTATTTTTGTTTTGCTCTGTTTCAATATCATTTAAACGTGACCTACCAACTAGCCCAACGACAGACCTTCTTGACCTTTTTTTCCTCTTACAAGAGAAAAAGAGTCTTCTGACACGATTCCAATGACGTCCCGCGGGAGCCTGAAGAGAAGGGTATCGAGCGGTTGTGGCGGTGGAACAACGTACCGGACAACGTAAAACAGAGACGCAGCGACGACGCCGTTTGCGTGAAACCGCCGGAACCCGGAGAAAAATATTGGCTTTTCGAAGACAACAGTGCGCGGACCGTTGCAACATTGAAATTCACATCCTTTCGCCGAGTCAGAAACCACTGCGCTAAATGCCAACGCATTTCGTCGAGAATGAGCGTAGCCACAACGGCGATTTTTGCGTCACTTTTTTTTCGGTATGATTGCCAGCGCGTGGAGAGAAGCTGCAGGTGTAAAACTCTTTCAGTGGGTCAGCAATGGTAAGAATTCAGTCTGGGGAATTTAGCGGAAGTAAGGCGGCACTCACGCTGCTCATACATCGTACGAAAGACACGGGGTTTCTGTAGACTATAACAGAAAGTGTCTGCGGACGCCTCTATGAAACTCTACTGCTTTGCTTTTGTATGCTTCGAATATGTCTAGAAACAGTTTTTGTATGATCAACGTAACAAAGCCTTCGTACAAAGGATGAACAAGCCTCCGTCTGCACACTGTCTTCCGTGTGATGTCTGATGGTCTTCTGTATGATACAGCGTCCTATTTCGCCCATACATAAAAAGTGGTCCCGAAGTGGAAACAAAGGACATCATAAAAATCCGGAGTGTCGTGCTCTTGGATGTCGCGATCCTGGCAATTAATCGTAAAAATTCCGGCAAAAAAAAAAAAAGAAAAAGAACACTTAAAAAACAATTGCATCTCCACGTGGTGAATGATGTTGATTGGGGCGAAGCTCTGGTGGTGCTTGTCTGCGTAGACGCTGAGCCGCAGCATGCCGAGCCTTTCGTTCGTTTTCATCTGTCACGCTGCAGTACTACACCGTGCGCTGCAGTCAAATGCTCAAATGCGTATATAACCACGTTCCATACCACACATTCTCTTTCTGACCTGGATGAAAACGAACGAAAGGCTCGGCATGCTGCTGCTCACTGTCTACGCAGACAAGCACCACCAGGGCCCGTTTGCTCGAACCACTAACCGCGGCTAAAGTTAGCCGCAGCACCTAGGAGAGGGATTTTGAGATCACGTGACTGGCTCGGTAGGGATGCGGGGAAACATGGCGGTGCCCCAGTGAGTGAGCGCCGGTCGCTTTGGAACTAATATGTCATTGTAGCTGCAATATCGGGCGCGTTAGTCAGCAACGAATGGTGCAGGAGGCTTTCGCTTTGCCTTGCCTCACTTAACCCGCAAAGCATGGGCAATGACATCGCCGCATTTTTCAGATAGTGTTTCCATTCTGGGCGCTCCTAAGCCTAAATGAAGGCGATAATTGTCGGCATAGCAACGTCTTTGGAAAGCGGATTGTTGATAGCACACAAAAGCAGACGGCGTCCCAACAGACCCTTTTTCTTAATTATCTAAGCACCCAGGTTATGCTACGACTGTAGTTGCACGCGTCGCACGTGCTGGCGTCTGCAGTAGTAACCGTTCTAAAGCAAAAAGTATAAATCAAATTTTGCCTTGCACGCGCGTTCGTTAAAGCCTTATTATGATTTTTTACTTCAAATCTTTTCTAAGAGGAAGGCCAGCGCGTTTACCGTAGAATTACACTTCCAGCGTTCTCCTCGCGATGCTTGGATAATTTAGAAAAAAGTCTGTCGGGACGCTGTCTGCTTTTGTGTGCTATAAACAATCCGCTTTCATTTAGGCTTAGCAATGCCCAGAATCGAAACACTATCTAAAAAATGCGGCGATGTCATTGCCCATGCTTTGCGGCTTAAGTGAGGTAAGGCAAAGCGAAAGCCACCTGCATTATTCGTTGCTGTCTAACGCGCCCGATATTGCAGCCACAACGACATATTAGTTCCAAAGCGACCGGCGCTCACTCACTGGGGCACCGCCATGTTTCCCCGCACCCCTACCGAGCCGGTCACGCGATCTCAAAATCCCTCTCCTAGGTACTGCGGCTAACTTTAGCCGCGGTGAGCGCTTCGAGCAAACGGGCCCTGATGTCCTCCGTGGCTGACATTTGTTCCAGAAAGGCGATACTTTTTTAACCACCCTATTGGTAAGAATTCTTTAAAAGCGTGAAACACCCGCTATAAATACGGGGATTTGTTTAGAAGAATCCTCGCAGGATTTTGTCGGCTTCTGGGTGTTTTACATTTCTCTCTCGATTTCCTCCGCAATTGGTTCAGTGATGGCCTTACTCCGGAAGAAGGCCTGCCGCCAGAGGTCGTTCAGGAGCTGAAGAAGAGAGGTCACCGTCTTCTGGGCACTCTCAAGGGCGCGTTGAGACGTAGAACGGGCTTCGCCCACGTCGTCACCAGGGGGAGCTGGTGGAACCGATCGGGAGGCTCTCCAAACTACACCAAGGGTCGCGCCACTTTCCTCTGGTTCGGAAGCGATCCCCGCGTCGATGCGGCAGCCATGGCGTACTAAGGTTCCGTTAAAAATCTATTTTCTACGAGGCATCCGATCACAGCAGCAACACTTGATTGTTTTCTTTCTAGGTTATTTTGATGACAATAAATGTCAATCCCAGACGAGGTGCTACTGATTGTGTCTTCACTGGGCGGCCCCATACGCACTTATAATTTTTACCACGGGAGAACGCGACTGGGAGCGACTCCAATGAAAGTCCTTTTTCGAGCTACCTACACAGCTTCATGTTGAGTGCGCCCTATACTCCTGACAGTCTAAGAGACGTAGAGCATGACGAGTATCTTATTACTGCATCGCCACCATCGAGATAGCCGAAGTAGCCAATAAGGATGCTCTAGTACGAATCGCGAAGCAAGAATTTCTCGGAGATAACAAGCCACGGCCCGGGTTCTGAAGCTGGCAGTAACGGTATATGGAGCGGAAGTTCGTCTGCTTCTTTTGCAGGGGTTGTGGTGACGTCAGAACGCCGAGCTCTGATTGGTTCTAAATGAAGGATAGTGGGCATACCTCGAGACCGCTTGCTTTCAGGCCTACCCAGTATCCTCCAGTTAGAGCCAGTCGGAGCTCGGCGTCTTCCTGACGTCACCGCAACTCCCGCTCAAGAAGCAGACAACTTGCTTTCCGCATACGCGCAGCGAAATTTTGTTGCGGTCGCCGAAATTCACACACTGCCCACTACACTCGCGTACTCTAGGTGCTCACACAGAGAGAGTGAGAGATCCTGGCGAAGCAGCTTTGTCTTGCCTTTCACGCTGCTTCGCGCAACGCAGACGGAGAAGAAAAGGGAGTAGGCCATCTTCGCATCCGAAAGTTTTGTTTTTTGTTTTTCATAAAGCAGCGGATACGTTGCTCGTGCATCGTGTGAACGAACCCGTGCTCACAGGAGACGCGATGGCAGACGTATGTGTGGGTACGCCTCACGCGAGTTCTCAAGCACGTTTGCTTCATGCATGTGTGTGTTTTGAACGCGTCTGCGGAGGGCTTTTGTACGACCAATGTTACGGGACCGCCATACAAGGAAGGATGGATGTTGTATGGATTGATCTTAATGGCTATACCTGTATCTTAATGGTTGCTGTTTGAGGGGAGGGGGGAGAGGAGGTCCCAGCAAAAGGAAAGATTTCAGGGAAGAGGGGGGGGGGGGTCCGGCGCCATGCGTCTCCCCCTCCCCCCCCCCCCCCGGCTACGTACCTGGCCGTGCACTTTCCATGCTGATATGCCACAATCTCTTTTTTTTTAGATTTTCATTTTTCAGAGGTGGCATGTCTTTATGGGATGGTTGCGCTGTACTGCGGACCAGAGGTCGGCATTTTAGGTCGCCCTCACTCACCCTCACCCTCACAGCCCCACTCACCTAAGCCCCTCACTCACCCTCACCCTCACAGCTACACTCACCTTCAGCCCCTCACTCACCCTCACCCTCACAGTCACACTCACCTTCAGCCCTTCACTCACCCTCACTGAACCTCACGGCCCTCACGCATTCACCGCCCTCACGGCCCTCACTCCCCACACCGCCCTCACGCCCCTCACTCACTCATGGCCCTCACGCGACTCGCCGCCCTCACGCCACTCACCGCCCTCACGGCCCTCACCGCCCTCACGGCCCTCACCGCCCTCACGGCCCTCACCGTCCTCACGGCCCTCACGCACTCATAGCCCTCACGCCACTCACCGCCCTCACCGCCCTCACCGCCCTCACGGCCCTCACCGCCCTCACGGCCCTCACGCCACTCATCGCCCTCACGCCACTCACCGCCCTCACGCCCCTCACCGCCTTTGCGGCCCTCACACCCCTCACGCACTCATGTCCCTCAAGCCACTCAGGCCAGCTTCAGATGGGGCAATTTCGCCCAGAAACTTTTCGTCGCAACACCAGCATCACGGGCCGCCCGCGATCACACGCAGCAACCAATTGCTGCAATTTGCCATCGTCATCATAAAATTTTATTTTTATTGCACTATTTAGACACAATTACGCGTTATAAACGTGTTTTTATGCATTTAAACCTCGTTAAGAATACTAATGCACCTTTCTGAAACAGTTTATTTCCAAAAAACGATCGATTTCATACCAGAACCAAGTCTTTCGGTGTCATCATCACCGGCACGAGGTATCACGTGAAAATGTTTCGTCCCTGATTGGATGCAGCCGCTTCAAACGTATTCTAATTGCCCCGATTTGCTTGCTTATTTCTAGCCGGACCCGATATCAGCAATTCGTGTCGATCTAGAGAAAGCTAGAGAACAACCCGCCATTAACACCAAAATTCCTGAGAAAGATGCTCGATCTGAAGGGGGCCTCACGCACTCACCGCCCTCACGCACTCATGGCCCTCCCACACCTCATGCACTCACCGCCCTCACGGCCCTCACGGCCCTCACGCATGTCATGCCACTCACTGCCCTCACGCACTCACGGCCCTCACGGCCCTCACCGCCCTCACGGCCCTCACGGCCCTCACCGCCCTGACGGCCCTCACCGCCCTCACGGCTTTCAGCGCCCTCACAGCCCTCACGGCCCTCACCGCCCTCACAGCCCTCACGGCCTTCACTCACCCTCACACTCATGAATTTTCCTGGTTCAGAAACTCACTCACCCTCACCTCACCTGTGGAGATGAGGGTGAGTGAGGGTGAGTGAGGGCCGTCATGAGTAAGGTTTGCCGAGGTATGCTGTGGACATCTGTCCTCTGGCTCAGAAGCTTCTCAGCTAACTTTGGCGACGTGTAGAAATTATCTACAGTTAAAATATCGCCTTGGACCAGCAATGGTTCCCTTAGTTCCATGACTACTTTCGTCTCCATGGCACTCTCCTCATTGTGGGCATATACCCTTGACTATATAAATGATGACGTCCCATACGTAGCCCGTTGCGGATTCGGAACCGCACGAAGATGATTCTGGTGAAGCGGGGCAAGCTCGTCATAAACGTCGCAAGATCTGGCCATGTTGTCACTCACGAAGGACTGCTTCAAAGCAAGCTACACGCCGGAAGAGCACATATTCATCGACGAGAGCCTCGTGCTTTACAAGGAACGTCTCTTTTGGAAGCAATTCCTTAGGCTGAAGCTGTGGTGCTTCGTTGTGAAGCTTTACGTGTTGCATAACTCGTAAAGTGTGCTAATGATCATCACCGGTGACAATTGCAGCATTTCTAATTAACAAGTTATAAAATAAAATTAGTCCAAAATCAATTAAAACATTCTAGCTAATCTGAGAAATCCATGTAAAATTATCTTAATATTGAGTAAAACATATGGTGCTATCAAAGTCGCGTCTTTAGAGAATCGGCAAAACTTCCATTCGCAGCCGTCAATACCTCCGGATCAAATGCCCGAAAAACGGGAAGAAAATAAAAGCGTTTTTTTTTACTTACTAGTTTTCCCAGAACGTTTAATTTTGCCTTTTTTAAATTTTTATTCGCCGTCGTTTTGCCGATCTCCGCCTTTCCAGTTCAAAGGAACGCCTACCCGCTTGCACGCTTGCTCACTGCAGCATGGTTCGTTGGCATTGGAAACCGGTGAAAGAGCAGCGGGTTTTAGTATTGCGTATACGAGCGAACGCAAGCACTGTGTGTTTGCGTTAGCGTTGTGTGTTCCATACTGCGCGTGCCCAAAATTGCGGTGTTGGATTGGAGCACGACGGCGCGCATGGATAGCGTGGAGCACGCAACTCTAACGCGAACGCAGAGACCTTGCGTTTGTTTCTATGCCCAATACTAATACTCTCTAATAGGTACAATCCCATAGCAGTTGCAGCAGTACATAGGGACAGTGAAGAGTGTTGTTTGTATTCGAAAATGATATTTCGGGAGCCATAATCACGAGCAGTTCCGCCTTGCCCCATCTGAGCGGGGGAACCGGGTGATCCTCACTGGAGCGCTTCCCGTTTCCGCCCCGGGAGGGCGAGCGACGAGCTGGAGACGCGCAGAAGGGCGATCGTAGGAAGTGAGGCAACACGCACTGGTCACGGAACTGGGCGGAGCCGATCGGAACCGTCGGAACGACGCGTCGCAAGCTCCGTCGGAAGCGTCTGTCACGGATAATCGTTAGCGGCGAGCCAGAGCAGCGATCGGACCTCGGATCGGATGTCCGATTTCTCAGTTTTGTGGTAAATGTGTTTCGCGCTTTAGTGCCGAAGACTGCCAATTATTTGTGTCCCGAAGCTCAAGGAGACTTGACGTATTTAAAGAAAGGGTTTGTCCCCGCTTCTCCCCAACGTAGGAACTCTCGTCCACTACAGGAGGGGTACACGCTGCAGCCTCAATCAAAACAGGCAAAAGAATGCAGCACCCGGTCTAAAGCCCATCTGGTGCTCCAGCAGTTTGTGCTGTACTTGAAGTATCGCGTGCTAAAGGACCACACAAAGGTGACGCCTTTACGTTGCCTTTCCTCCCTAAAGTCGACATATGCAGGTCTTCCAAAATTTCAAAGATCGTTCGAGGAGCTTAATAATTCCCCTACAATTTTACAAAAAAAAAAAAAAAAAAAAAAATAATAAAGACGTTTGGAATCCCCTGTGACGCCAAATTAGAGCACAGCTCTTGAGGAGAAGGAGGGAAGGGTACTGAGAGGAGAAGGCAGAAAGTCCCCCCCCTACTAACATGGATGTGGATCGACGTGTGCTTAACGCAAGTCGCACAAAATGAAGATCTTTGGTGAGAGCATCGCGTTTAAATTTGGCGGTAATTTAGCGGCGCAATTTTTTCCCCTACCTTTAGCGGGAAATTTTTTCCACCAGCATTAGCGGGGAAATTTTCCCCGCTATAAAATTTAGCGGGGAAGTTTTTTCCGGTAGATTTAGCGGGGAACTTTTTCCGCTAAATTTAGCGGGGAATTTAGCGTCGCCGTCATCGTCATCGTCACTGATGACGTCACCAGTGACGTCACGTGCGACTTCATCGCCATCGGATGCTTAAGCTGACGGTGACGCCGCTCAAGCCGGAAACGGGCGCCTCAGATCTGCTCTCTAAAACAAGCTGGATTTGGAAGTACTTTAAGCGCATGGTACTTACAGCCCTATTTCAAATAGGAATA